TGGAAATTAAGTATATTGCAAAGTTGTACTGAGATAGAATAAACTATTTATTTAAGAAAGGACTTGTATCGCTAAAGTTTCATCCGAAATAAATCATACGGGAAATTAACAAACGAACACAGACGTAACAATGTAAATATTAGCAGTCTTACGAAACCCTCTGTTTCCATAGCATTTGTCCTAGTCATTATATAATTTTGTTATTTTACCCGCAAACCTAATTTATCATAAATGCAAGTTGTCTATACCCCCCCCCCCACCACGAAAAAAATAGAGCGAAGAAGTTTGGCACATTAACCTTATTTATTTGGCAAAATACTTTATTTACTGTTCGTCACTTGAAGTATGAATATGTTTATTGTGGCCTTAGATTATCTTATGGTTGAGCTTGAATACTAAGTGGCAAAAGTTTTTCTAACAGCAGAAAAACAAAACAAAAAAACATGTTTCACTAAAACACAAGTCAAATACCAAAATAACAGTACAGAACTGTTGCTAGCCCTAACTAGGTATTTCAGGGGTTAACGTTTCAATTTATACGCCTGGAAAATATAATTACTTACCATACGTATTTAATATTAAATATTGTTATTAGTGTTGATTTAAAAAGTACAAGTTTCATATTAAATGGAACATTAGTTTTTTATTATAGTTAACCAATATAAGTGTTTAACCATTTTGTATTATTAGTAGTGAAACTTTGTGTAAATCTAGATACCTGTTATAATTCAAGTTTTAAAGTATCCTTATGTTCTACAACTATGTGCACAAGCTTAGACAACTTACAAACCCCGAAACCTGCCAACCCTCGAGTTCATCATCAGTTCTGGGACGACCTACTTTAACAGATTGGGAGTCTTTGCTTATGCAAATATCTACATACCATATAAGCAACGAAACAGTAGAGGAGAGAAAAATTAGTTAACTTAATGATTCTTTGATGGAAAAACTAAATCTTTTATTGTTCATATGTTTCCTTCTTGACTTGTACATTTTCATATGATTTATTTCATACATTTTTCTTAAAAAGGTTACTGATGAATACAACTCAAAACTAACTTACAAACAAACAAAAAAATGTGACATACTGAAACAATTGCTAACTGCTGTCCCTCTCCCTTACAGGTATTGAATTTTACCTTTTAATCTGTATAAAACTTAAAACGCTCAACAACGAAAAATACATCACCCAAACATAACCAACAGCTTATAATAGTTTAAAAGAATCGAGTCCTTTAATTTTGATTTAATGAGTTAAAAACAAAGAACCAAAGTTATCCAGTGAAGCTACTAGATATTGCAACAACGTCTTTCATTTCATAACCAGTACTTTGAAAACAACAACTTAAGCGGCTAAGTTCGGCCCAGAGGTATGCGGAAATACTTCATCAATGTAGATTTCAAAATTTTCGGTCTCCCCTAAACTCTCGCTCCTAGAAAGTGTACGTGAACTGGGACCCTTAAAAGGCGTATTCATATCGACCTTTGGTAAGAAATATAGTACTTGTAAAAAAATAAAACAAAGATTAATACTGATATTACTATTATTTGCATAACATTGACGTATTTTTGCAAAGTCATTTGGTTAAACTTCGTCAGTTTTACTTTACTTGTCTGTTAAAGACAGTTGTGAATATTCACAATTGTTGCTAATGTAAGAAAGTGCAAACGTTTTCTTTCACCTTTAGAATTGAATTTAGACAAAACATCCTGTGTTTATTGCCAGTTTATTTGCCTTTCGTTTTTGACAATAGTATGTATGCGCAGTCACTAGATGGCTCAAAGTTCATAGAACGTGACATAGGATTCTTGTTCGACAAAAGTTCAGTATGATTAAAACAACAAAATGGATGCTGGGAATAGTGAGTAGTTTGAACTGTGAGTGCATGGTTCGTTTTTCACGATTCTGCATACTAAATCGGAGACTTAAACAGTGAGACTACAGTTGCAAGGATGGGCGTATTTAGGGTGTTCATGCGTTTTCTTCACAAACTCTGATTCCTTCACATATGTAAAGAGTTGCACCCGATAATCCACTGCACGTTGCCGCGGAACTGTAATTCTGTCGTGATCTACTTGTTTGTCTTCGGAATGCCATACAGATAGCCTTTGTGGGTACTGAAGAATTCGTTTCAATAGCTGCAGGGGGAAACAAAAAGATGTCAAGGTTAGCAGAGCGTTAGAACTATGCATACAAAAACACGTTCACTCTCACAGAGACGGTAACGTCTAATCTTGCTCAAGTTCGTTTTATATATCCAGATATTTAATACTAACAAAGATCAATACTGCCTTGAAAATACGAACATCTTGAGTGTTACTGTTACAACTTACAGTGTTAGAAGGTAAGTTTACTCGTAATCTTAGGGTTATTGTTTCTTCTTCGTTGAAAAGGTAATATTGTGATGTTTTGGTTGAGTAGAAAAGACAGCAACTCTCGAAATCGAAGTATATGTAATAATAGAAAACCAGGTTAAGTAGTTAGCACGTATATATTTCATCACACTCATTAAACATAATCCTCTATTCTCCTGAAGAAGAATAGTCAACTATTTGAAAGTGCTCGAGTTTTGGCTCTCGTTTTGAAAATAAAAATAGAAAAGTTAGCTGTTACTGTTAGCGAGTATCACTAGCATTTTAGTGTGTGTGTGTGTGTGTGTGTAACGATAGCCTGTAGATTAAATTGCCAGGTAAGTTTCAATAATATTAATAAACGTCTGTATCTATGTCTTGTATTAAGCTGATCTACAGTAATTTTTCATTAGGTATGTAAATATTAAAAAGTATTGTGATAAATAAAAAGTTTTTCGGATGTTGGAGCAAATGTACAGAAGGGCTATCTGCGCATAGTTGTATCTAAAGCCAAGTAAAAATACATGTTTAGCGTCCCCTCCCGCTTTCCTTTTTTTTGCAGCCGCCGCCCACTATATTTTTGGCGATTTTTTTTCTTTTTTTTTAGTTTTTTCGATCATACAAAGAAACGAAGACTTCTGAATAAAAAAATCAGATGAACGCAGTTGATTCATTTTGCCCTTTTTCTTTATTTGTCATCAATTCTTTTATCGTTTTGATGAAAAAATGAAAACAAAGAAGACTTCTGTTTGACATGGAGCCTTTGAAAACAAGCAACAATCATAAAATGAAAAAAAAAGTGCATATGTTCTTTAAAAGAGGTCATTTAAAAAAGACCCCCCTTCTTTTTTTCGAAAACTCCGGACGCTAAACATGATTTGTATTTTACTTGGCCTAATACTGAATGATACTGATAGTGATAAACTTAAGCAGTAATGCGCAAACTTCTTCTTGCCCCCCTCTAAGCCTGCATTTTGGTGCTCCCCGCATCACGTATAGCGTATTTGTGTATGTATACTGTACATGTCATTTTCCCATGTTAATTGTTGTTACTATATTGCTTACTAATAATGTGATTTGTACAGTAGTTTTTAAAACTTGTTTATTTTCAAATTTATACTTTTAGATATAATTTATATGCTCGTAGCCATAATTTCGTGGTAACGTAAGCTTACATGGCTGAAATCCATGGTTCGATTCCCCGCTGTGGATATAGCGCAGAATGCCGTGTGTACTTTTGTGCTAAAATAATAACAATAACAAAAAAAATTACCTTAGAATTACCGATGGGGTTTGGAAACCCATAGGCTTTTCGAATATATTTTTCTAAACTATGTAACAACTGTTGGTTACTGGGTCTAATAACTTATTGGTTATAAAGGAAAACAAACAAACAAATATATTACAATTGACCCTACTAATTACTGTTGTACTTTCACAAAAATTAAAGGATAATGAGGATTTGATTTTTTTTCTTAATTTGAAGAAAAACACAGGGTGACGTTCAATATTGACGAAACTTGTTTATTTCAAATATCACAGGTAAACAATAACAAGCAAGTCGAAAAGTTCATTTATAAATGAAAAATAAAGCAAAATTAATAAAAAAATACCAATATTTGGCTGCACAAATATTAAAGAAAAAATTGTTTTTTGTGTTGAACAAACTTTAACTCATAATGGCTGGAGACGGCTTGAATGGGTAATGAAGAAAACTTTAATATAAGTTTAACATATCAGGTACCTGATGATGACAAAACCTTGTCGAAACGTTGTACATTTGCTGTTATGTTAAACATATTAAAGTTTTTCTTCATTACCCATTCAAGCCGTCTCCAGCCATTATTAGTCTCAAAGTGGGTTCCTCATCATCGAATTTGAAAATTTTAACTCGGTCCTTAGCAGCTATTAGGTCTTCATCTATTGTTTATAGCCTCTCTACACCTGCTTCCCATACTGTTGAAGACATTTTGTATGACTTGCTGGGGTAGCATAGTCCACTTTTCTATGAGGGCATCTCTGACCTCCGAACAGTCATAGAAGTAGGTTGTTTGTCTCTAATTGCTCTCCCTAGCAAGTCCTACACGTTCCCCAATCGGATTTAGGTACGGTGATTTAGGCCAGTCTAGTAACTTTTTTTTATTCTGAAAAATTGCCGTGTGATCCTGGCGGTGGGAGGACGGAGTTTTTTCCTGCTGATACACGAACTCATCTCCAACAGTACCAACAAAAGAAGGAACAATGGTTAGCAAGATCTTATTCACGTAACATCTTGTTGTCAAGGGTCCTTCATCCACTACATAGAGCTTTGTATGCAGATGCAATCCCAGACCATGATTGAATCATCCCCAAAGATATAACGGTGGACATTGTTACAAACCACATATCGCCCTCACGTCTCCAGAACCTCGCATATCGATCACTTGAAGATACACAGAACCTACTCTCATCTATAAACTGTACAGGGATCAGTTGCTGAAAAATCCAGGTGGCATGTTCCTGAGCAAATGCCAGCTGGGCTGTGTGGTATCTTGGGGTTAGTACAGGGTATTTAACTGTTATCCTGGATCTGAACCCAGCCTCGTGAAGCCTGTTCCTGACTGTTGAGCACGATGCACGCATTCCAGTGGTTTGCTGAAGCTCGTTCCTAAGGCCCTTACGCTCTGCTGGTGCAGTTTCCAAGGGCTTAATTCCGTAGATATCGGTCGTCTACTGTACCTGTAGCCCCTTTACGATCCTGGCCTGGGCTCCTGGTGTATTCTTTTCGGGCCTGGTATCTGCACCACCACAATTTACTGACCACATATTGTGACACCCAACATGACCTGTTCCACCTCAGTCCGGGCTGCAGCCCTCTTGTAGCAGTGTCACGGCTATGCAAACTTAAATTTGAGTTAAATGGTTTCTAACAACTTGCACACTCTTTGCAAAAGTCAATACCAACATAAATATTAATAAACCCAGCATTATCTCAACAGTGAACATCTTTACTAATCAGTCAAAACTAGCCGTTTGCTTTGCAGAATTTGAGTCATTTATCATAAAGGCCAAACTAAGGAATCATTGGTGCAAAAACTGGCAAACCCTAGGTAGTAACCGTCTACAATAAGCATGCTAAGTTTAAAAAAAACAAAAACTTAATAACCTAAAAATATAAAAATTTATACAAACCTCATTATCCTTTAATTTTTGTGAGTAGTTTATTTTACACAGACGACTCCATAAAATGTTTTTGATCATTCCTGGGATTTACACCGAGTTTGATATGTCAATATCACATGTATATGTGTGTGTATATATCCAATGTTTTAAAATCTTAAATCTTTGTATTATTGGGAGGAGGGGGAGATAAGCGTTTATATGTTCAGCAGTGTAAAATTATGCAACCAAATTATAGGACTTGCATGGTTATTAATTAAACAGTATTTTGTATACATCTTAGGTAACGCCATGCGGTAGTTGAAAAAAAAAACCATGTCACAGAGATGCCGAGCGTTTAAAGGTGAGTTTGTTTTTCAATTAAAGTTCGAAGTTCGCATAATTAAGATAATGGTGCATTTTGTTTATACGTCTTCAAAGCTAGTTGTGCTTTACTGGTAGCTTGCACGTTATATTGAGGTCGTTTGGGATTTTTGTTAGCCACCTGTTGGAGGAAACTAATATTTTTTATTCTTGCATATTTTGAAAGATTACTAATACGCCTTGGATGAGTACAAGCACATGTGTGCGCATACTTGTTAGTAAAGTGCATCAAATTTTTAAAGCCAGTAAAACAGAAGTACTGATGAGTCTTGTTTGATAACATTTAAAATTACTATCTTATCTGTATTTTATCGCATTCTTTATTTCGATTCATTCAATTTTTGTTCAGTTTTACAGTTTTTGTTGTTCAGTTTTACATAATCGCTTTCAATTTCAAGTGTAAAGTGATATTTTTCCTTAAAATGTAACCACCGGAAAAGTACGAGTATGGTTAATTTTTTTTAATTCAAAATGTTTTACCTTAAATACTGAGGAGACGAGTCATTACAAATATTAGTGATAATAGAAAAGAAGTATTAATCTAAATAAATCACTTCGGCTAAATTTAATCAGCCAAGGAAATGGTTAACGCGTATAATTTGTATTTTGTCACCAGAGGGCACCAACGAAAATACCTTATGGATCTGTTTATTTGTTGACAGATTCAGTGAATTGTAATGGAAATTCACATTTTAAGTTAGAAATGCAAAACGCTAAGGCATTGTTTTTTGTTTACAAATAGATAGTGTTTTGGTTTTCACTCTGCGTGACACAGAAATAGATAAAAATAGATTATCGTCTGACCGCTTTGTTCATTTCATTTAACTCGGATTCGTTGTACCGACTTGAATACAACAATGCGCCAAACTGTGGAAATAATAGTGCTCAAGTTCACACGAGAACGTATACGCAGCGTAAGAAATTAACATTATTTTTTTAATTTTCCACAACTGTAATGAACGGTTCTCTTGTCATTTAACGCTAGAGCCCGAACCTTGGGATTATTATATCGTGTATCAACTGTTAATTGCCACGATTCTCAGTCCTTGTTGTTGTCGTTTTACTAATTAAAAAATGTTTTACTTTATTAGAACTGTATCAATTCCAAACAAATTATGTATGCAGTTTTATTTGTTATTTTGTAAAGTAAACTTAGATAAGCTCATGTTTCTAGTATATATATATATATATATAAACACGTACACTTGTTCGGTTTGTTGTGATTCTGGTAAAATGATTTTCGATGTATATAAATATCAGTTTTTGTAAGAAGTACCACATGATACAAAATATCACAAGGTTACTATATACAGTACCTGCTAGTTCCCAAGGTTGGGCGTACTTACGCTTTTGTAATATTAACAAATTTTTACAACAGAAGAAACTAGCAGTAATAATAAGTAAAACAAAATGTCTGTCATAGTATTTCAAGATGGTTGTGATCTTACCGTTATCATTTCAAGTAATCTTTAAGAATAGACTTAAAATATATTTGCAGGAAGATGCGGCATTGTGATACTCCTGATCGCTTTGGCCATCTGGGGTCATCAAACAGAAGCTGACAAGGTAATCTATCGTTCTGTGTATTAATAAATGGTCCCCTCACCGTTTTACGTATGGCAAGTTTGAGATAATGGAAACGTTAGTTTTCAGTTGTCATGGTAGAGTTCCACTTTGCATTGTTACTAGCCGAAAGTGAAATGTTGATATGTTATTAAACTGTGCATTTCTTTTGTATTCCTTTAATTGTTTTTAGCACGATGAAACACTGTAACTTGGATAAATAATTACAAAATCTTTCAAAAAGGTCTAGGTTTGTTTGTTTTTTCTTTTCACTTACAAACTACTCGGTTACTTAGAAATTTTATAAAATATTCTGAGTTATTATGATAAATTATAGAACTTCTATGTGGTGGATAGATGTCAAGAATAGTAACATTTCGTGCACAGGTATTTGTTTGTTTGTAATTAAGCACAAAGCTACACAATGGGCTATCTGTGCTCTGCCCACCACGGGTATCGAAACTCGGTTTCTAGCGTATTCCGCGGACATACCGCTGTGCCATTGGGGGGCTCATGCACGAGTAAAACATAAGACCAGACTTTTAAAAATTTGAAGCTAAGTAAGAGCAGTACAGATTACAATCAGATTCAGGTGTGAAACTTTGAGAATAAAAATATATATAACTGAACTGAAAAAGAGAATTACCTTAAAATTGGTTTTGCCTGAGTTAAATGGTTTGGTTATTGTAGCAGTAAATCAAAACACGGTAGTGTGTCGTGCGGCCAAAACCATCTGCAGTACACATTGTGTGTTATTAACAAGTGATAGTTTAGTAATTTACCACTTTCTGTAGCTCGGACTGTGGTAATCCAAACTATCACATATTTTCAGTGGATGTGCTCCACTGGAGTGTTACTTTACGTACCAAATTTCAAGGCAATCTATAAAGAAATACAGGAGATATAAAATCTCCAATTGTGGTTGAGTTTCTTCTTCTTTTTTTTTTCTTCGCGCCGAAAGTGCGGAAACTTTAATTGATATATAAACATACTTAACTTTCATGGATTTTTTTTTCTAATTTAATACACTGATAGATCTATACAATCTATAGTTTTGTCAGATTTGGTCTAAATATAAGCTACATATGCAAAATTATTTTTTAAAAAACGCTCAATTTTGACCAAACTTTTTTGCGCAAGCCTACGCAATAAGTCACGTGAGCTATCGGTCAGAAATTTTTACTATGGCTACAGCTAAGAGTAAAGGTGGGCCTTTTTTTTTGTCATTCGGATTAAAGACGGATGATTCAGAGCAGCGAAACCATAGGGTTAAAGCACGTGGAGATATATGTGTTGGTTAGGCCAAACAAACTAGATTAGCAGTTTCCAGCTCAAAAGAATCATACGGGTGGACGGGTTATTATTTATTGCCAACTTATAATAAGCACAAATTTGCTAGATATTATGAAATTCTCCTAATTAAAGAGCGTTTAGTGTCACGTGATATTAGCTTAAGCACTTAGCGTAAAATAATGATGCTTGATACGGCTGTACCGGGTTATGTGGGTGATAACAAGAAACTGTTAATCTAGTTTCCATAGCGTTACTATAAAGGAAGCTATTAACACCGTTTTAGAGAGGAAAACTACCAACATAGATTTTAAAGAATCTGATTGGTTCTGTAAAGTAAAGGTCTGTTCCGAATAACAGGGTTGGGATCCTGAAGCTAATGTGGGTTACTATCAAGTGTTACTTTATTACTTGCTGTGATTTGTTAGTGTATATTCACAAAAAGGTCATAATATCTAATTAAAAATTCGTTGGGTGTGAAAAAAGGTGCAGTTAAACAAGGATTGAGAGAGTAACTTGTTTTACCCACCATCATACCATCAGTTGAACAAAAAACGCGGCCTGGCAAACTAATGAATGAATATTTGTTGTAAAATTCTTATCAATGCTATAAGTATAACTACCAGTTTGGCAGCCAGTTTTGATTTCATTCCTTTAAGTCGCATGTTCAATCCTTTTTTGGCCACACCTTTTTTTTTCACACCTAAGGTGTTTTTAATCATTTCTAACCGAACTTATTGTTCTATAGATGAAGTAGTAAAGTGTAACTGAACTGTGAGTGAAAGTGCAGAAAAACAAAGCTTGTACTCTTTGAGAAAAAAGGACCAAGATATCTAATAAATGAGTGCTTAATTAATTATTTCCTCTGTAATAGTAACATTAGTTTGTACCAGTTTTTATGGTTATGCGAGTTAGTATTGCCACGTGGACTGCTAGAAATACGGAACATTTTTTGTGGATGTTTTGATTATTTTCACTTTTCAGCAGTTTAGATAGGTAGAAAACAAAGTATACAATGGTGTACTTTAGGCCAAATAAGGATCCGTTCTTGTACCAAATGGAATGCTGCATTTTACGACTTGAATAAGGAAAGGTTCTGTAAAATACGAAACGAGTAGCATCTTAACGTCAATGTCAAAAGAAAAATAATAAATACACATTTCTCTGTTTACTTTGAAAGGTTTCATGTTTTCATACATTTATAACTTGGATTTCCTTGTTTCCTGATTCAAATACATCACTACAGCATTTAAATGTGTTTTTTAGTCTGCTAGATAAGACTGCATTTAGAAAAAGATTGGTCTCACTTAATACAGCCTGAAAAACTTTTAAAACAATTTCCTTCGATAAAAATTGTGTCGGTTTATATTTAACTCGGAACTGATTGTTTTTTTTTTTGTATTTGAAAAGCCGTAGTTGTCACGTTTCAGTATTAAAGATTTCATATTTTTAAACACTGTCTGTATCACTGTCATAGCCGTACTTTGTCGAATGTTATGATGCCATGAAAGTAAGTACTCATGTTTAATATGTCACAACAAAAATTGTGAGTTGTAGTTATTAAAAATATTTATCTAACAAAACTTACATAAAGCAGTCAACAGTATGGTTATCATAAAAAAGGGTAATGATAATAAAGAATAGTGTAGCGCACTGAACGAGATTTTTTTATGAGTCGTAAATCCACAATTTGCGGGTGCGGAACAAAAAGAGGTTAATCAAATATATTCTTTATTGGTGTAGTGGGAGCACGAGGTGGAAAGAACAGGTGAGATATTACACTTAAACATTGTAATAACTCAAAATATTTCACTGATAAACAGACATGCTAAATATACACACACACTTCATTAACGCTGTGTAGACGTATAAAAACAAAAGTAGTGCTATCTGTATGAAGGTACTTCAGGAAGTAAATATTTTCCATTAATGGACGCACACACAATGAACAGCATAAGTAAACTATTGTACGGGACGCACACGTAATGAACAGCATAAGTAAACTATTGTACGGACGCACACGTAATGAACAGCATAAAAACTATTGTACGGGACGCGCGCAATGAGCGGAATATATTAGGTCGTCAAGAAATTAATGTTGCTTTTTTTTAGATGAAAAAACCCGAAAAATTTATATATCATAACCAATCATTTATTATATGAAATAGCCTCCCTTCTTATCGATGATGCTTTTCCATCTTACAATCAGGTTGTTATTACGCTGATTAAAGAAATCACTTGGCTTTGAAGCAAAAAACTTGAATACCTTCCATATTAGCATACGTTTTCCCATTAAGATGGTGTTGCAGCGAAAAAAAAAGATGGTAATCTGATGGTGCCATATCTAGAGAATATGGCGGTTGGGGGGAAAACTTCCCAACCTAACTCTGTAATCTTGAGTTGCGTCAAACGTGCCACATGTGGACATGCATTGTCGTGGAGAAGAAAAACACATTTCCGATTGACGAGTGAAGGGCGTTTCTGGTGAAGGGCTTGATTTAAACGTTCTAGTTGCTGACTATAGATTTCTGCATTGACAGT